GCCGTTCCGCTTCCAGCCAGACTGATGTGCCTTCTGGCCAATCGGAGGCTGCGGTTTCTTGGAGGGGCTACAAGTGAGGACCCAGATGCTGTGGCCCAATGGGTGGCATCTCCGACCGACTGGCGGCAAAGGGAATTGTGGGGGTTGTAGTTGCAGACGGGTCCTATGCACCAGCTGCGTTCTGTGCATGCTCAGCCTCAAACCCCGCCCTGTGCACTGTCCCCGCTTCGCGCTCAGTTTCGATATTCTAGCACTGTTCTTCCCTCCACTGCAAAACTGACGCCCCTCTAGCGTGGCGCCTGGGGACAACCGCCTCCCCCGACCCCCGCATCACTACACCACTGGACAATGGTGTAAGGAGGAGGGGTTTAGATTTATTAGGCTCTGGGGAAACTTTGGGGAAAGGGGAAGCCTATACAGGAAGGATGGACTCCACCTAAACCAAAATGGAACCAGGCTGCCAGCACTGAACATTAAAAAGGTCATAGAGAAGTTTTTAAACTAAGGGCTGGAGGAAAGCCAACGGGTAAGGAGGAGCACATGGATCGGACAGAGACATCTCTTAGGAGAGGGTCTATTAATAGAGATTCTCTATGTTCTAGTCAGGTGAAGAGAATGGAAGTATGGGTCAGATCACATGAGATACAATCAAATGAAAAAGAATAACACATCATGAAATGGCAGACAGATAAATAGTGACAAATTTTTAAAGTGCTTAAACACAAACATTAGAAGTCTAACTAATAAGATGGGTGAACTAGAGTGCCTCATGTTAAAGGAGGATATTGATATAATAGGCATCACAGAAATTTGGTGGAATGAGGACATTCTATGGGATACAGTTATCAGAGTACAAAATATATCAGAAGGACAAAATAGGTCATGCTGGTGGGGAAGTGGTACTATACTTGAAATAAAATGTTGAATCAAATGAAGTAAAAATCTTAAATGAACCAAAATGTTCCATAGAATCTCTATGAATAGTAATTCCATGCTCTAAGAAGAAGAATATAGCAATACGGATATATTATTGACCACCTGACCAAGATAATGATAGTGACTATGAAATGCCAAGGGAGATTAAAGACACTATCAAAATTAAAAATAAATAAATAATAGTAGGAGATTTCAACTATCCCCATATTGACTGGGTACATGTCACCTCAGGACGGGATGCAGTGATAAAATGTCTTGATACCTTAAATGACTGCTTCTTGGAGCAGCTGGTTCTGGAATCCACAAGGGAGCAGGCAATTATTGATTTAGTCCTAAGTGGACTAAATGCAGGATCTGGTCCAAGCGATAAATATAACTGGACTGCTTGGAAATAGTGACCATAATCTAATAAAATGTAACATCCCTCTGGCGGGAAAAACATCTCAGCAGCCCTACACTGTGGCATTTAATTTCAGAAAGGGAAACTACACAAACATGAGGAGGTTAGTTAAATATAAATTAAAAGGTACAGTGGCAAAAGTAAAATCGCTTCAAGCTTCATGGAAACTTTTCGAACACACCATAATAGAGGCTCAACTTAAATATATACTCCAAATTAAAAGAAACACAGTAAGAGAACCAAAAAAGTGCCATCATGGCATAACTAGTGGTGTCCTCCAAGGGTCTGTCCTGGGACCAATCCTGTTCAACTTCTTTATAAATGATCTGGAGAAAGGGGTAAATAGTGAGGTGGCAGAATTTGCAGATGATACTAACTTGCTCAAAACAGTTCAGACCAAAGTTGACTATGAAGACCTTCAAAAAGATCTCACTGAACTAAACTGGGCAACACAATGGCAAACGAAATTTAATGTTGATAAACGTAAAGTTAACCCACATGGTGGGGGTGGGGGGATAATTCCAGTTGTACATATAATACGATGGGGACTAATTTAACTACAGTTACTTAAAAGAGCTCTTGGAGTCATTGTGGACAGTTCTCTGAAAACATCCACTCAAAGTACAGCAGCAGTCAAAAAAGCAAACAATATTAGGAATAATTAAAAAAGGGATAGAATATGTTCTTGCCTCTGTTTAAATCCATGGTACCTCCATATCTTAAGTACAGATGTGTTCAACTTGTCTCAAAAAATACCTTTGCATTGGAAAAAGTTCAGAAAAGGGCATCAAAGTGATTAGGGGTTTGGAATGACTACCATATTAAGACAGATTAAAACAACTGGGACTTTTCAGCTTATAAAAAAGGAGACTAAGGGGTGATGTGATATAGACATCTATAAAATCATGACTGGTGTGGAAAAAGTGAATAAAGAAGTTATTTACTTGTTTCCATAACATAAGAACTAGGGGTCACCAAATGAAATTAATAGACAGCAGGCTTAAAACAAAAGGAAGTTTTTTCTTCACGCAGCGCATAGTCTACCTGTGGAACTCCTTGCCAGAGGATGTTAGGAGACTAGGACTTCAACAGGGTTTAAAAAAGAGCTAGATAAATTCATGGAGGTTAGGTCCATCGATGGCTATTAGCCAGGATGGGTTGGAATGGTGTTCCTAGCCTCTCTTTGGAAATGGATACAGAAGAGGGATCACTTGAGAATTATCTGTTGTGTTCTCTCCTTCTGGGGCATCTGGCATTGACAGACAGGATTCTTGGCTAGATGGACCTTATGTCTGACCCAGGATGGCCATTCTTATGTTATGTACTAAAATAGACATTGCTGCATTACGCTAACCATTTTAGGTATGTTTTGATTGTGCTTTTGGACTCTCATAAGGTGTTTGTGTCCCAGAACTAATTGCTGTGAATTTGAGGGAATTAATTTTTGGGAAGATAAAGAAGTTTAAATGTAGAGATGGCAGTACTTTATTCTTCTAGTCCTGGTAGGCACTACCTCACTCTGATTTCTCTCTTCTCTATTGTTCCATTCCCTCCCACTTTTTTTCTGGTCACCATATATCTTTTTTTGGTACTCCATAAGTATGTCATAGTTTTTTATTAAAGTTTGCTCTTATAGTTAAAGAATGAGACACCTTTATATATTAATTGACGTTATGTAACTTAGTCATGAAAATGAAAATCTAAGGTCATTAACTGTCATTAACTCAGTATAGTTGCACATAAATTGAGAGGGGGGTTGTTTTGCATTTCTAATTAAAACTATTATTGATAATTCTGAATTTCAGTGACTTAAAATCCTAAGCAAATTATCCTAACAATAGTTCTTGTTCCTTTCCAGGCCTGAGAATATGGTCTTCCAAGGTTGGTCCATTATTGGACTGGATTTATATTCTTGGAATAATGGCTTTGGTGGGATAATGCATTCTTAATGCAGTGTGATTTCCAAAGCCCACTGACACGTGCATTAATTGATTCATGCAGACCCTGCTGGTGTGCTTTATCATACTGATATTTGAAACAATTCTACATTAAAATGCATTAAAGAAACTTTGGTTCACACCAGCAGGATCTACAGGCACTAGTCAGTGTGGCAGAGGATAGAATGCTTTAGAAATCACACCCCCATTGATCACGTTTCCTGGGGTGTAATATCCTGTGACAGAGATGGATATTGGTGAACTTGGCTAAAACATTAGTGTTCAGTATGTTGTCAGTATTTGTTGTACATCTTAGCTGCTTTGCCATCTCGTCTTCCAGTAAGCGTGAATGATAGGGTGGCTCTTGCTACATTTCCAAGGCAGAGGTGCAGCTGGGGACTGGGTTTGAGCCTGGAATCAGCTGAAAGGAATGTGCTTCTGAAGCAGTCCCCGCTCACCCTGGGTTCTCTGCTGTGCCTCTGCTTTTGAAATGTAGCAAGAGCCACCGGCAGCTTCTGGGACTGGGCATGAGCCATGACAGCTGATTCCTGGCTTGCACCTGGTCCCCCGCTGCACCTCTGCATTCCCTGCCCTCCTCCCCCAATTGCCTCCAATAGAGGCAGCAAGTGGGGGAAGTGACTGAGCGAGTAGTGACTTGACCACCTGATAAGCATCTGCGTATTGAGGAGTTGCTTACACTGAAAATTTCCATATTTTATTTGACTGAAAGTGAACTGTCTTTGGAAATGTGAGCAAATCGCTTCTCTTCTTTTGAGTAACCAGAGAATAGTGCTGGTGAGAATCTTATCTACTATTAAAAGAAATAACTTCTAAATGTACTTGTTGGAACCAAGAAGCCTTAAATCAGCTTAATTTGTAGTTTAACATAGCGGTGGTCCTCCCATAATTTGGTTTGTTCAATTGTTTTGATTTAACACAGTTGTGACCATTTTAAAGTTACTGAACTTACTAAGAAGAAAATTGTAGGATTTGTAATGTGGCTTATGTGTTTTTTTGCAAGCTTGACATAATTAACTAATTTTTTGCACTTAAATTGATTGTAAAAATAATTAAACTTCAAATTCATGTTGTTTTGCATTTTAAGAACCAGAATCGGATAAGTCAAGTTACGTATACAGAACATTGTTAGCAAGTTTACAAGCTAAAATACATTTCTTATGGACTTAGGCTATGTCTGTATTGCCACTTTTGTTGTTCAGGGGTGTGAAAAACACCCCCCCTGAATGACACAAGGTTTATTGACAAAAAATGTGCTGGTGTGGATAGCACTTTGTCAGTGGTAGCCATGCTCCTGGCAATGAAGGTACCACCTATAACCAGAGGAGGCATCTCCTAGTAAGTAGCTACATAGTGTACTTTATTGTAGTGCAGCTGCAGTGGCACAGCTGTGGTGTTGTAAGGTGCACAATGTAGACTTGATTTAAGGCTATCATACTATTTCTCTAACCTGTTTCACTGCCCAAACAAGAAAACAAATCACATTTCTGAATGTGTGCTTTTGGGAAATACTACTTAATATTGCTGAAAGAAAACTTGCTTTATATTTAAAATATTAATTATATTTCAGTTATGTTAGCATAACAGCTAAGAATAGAAATACCAATATGTGAAATACTATATTTTCAAAAGGAGTTACACTTGTAGATATCATTGGACTCCTCAGACTCTGCTTATAGGCACTTATTCCTCTACTTTGTTCTTTCTAGGCTGCTGAATATGTCCCAGAAAAAGTGAAGAAGGCTGAAAAGAAATTAGAAGAGAATCCATATGACCTTGACGCTTGGAGCATTCTCATTCGAGAGGCACAGGTTTAGTGACATAGGATTACATTTCCTTATCTATGGGTCCACTCGCACTATTTGGTTCTGGAGTACAGTCAATATAAACATTTACATAAATCATAATATTGTAAATGCTGTTTGTTGGTTTTCAATTTTTTAGAATCAACCTATAGACAAAGCACGGAAGACCTATGAACGTCTTGTTGCCCAGTTCCCCAGTTCTGGCAGATTCTGGAAACTGTACATTGAAGCAGAGGTTAATATTTTAACATTCTTTCTTATATAACACTTAATAGGAATTTAAGTTTACACTTTCTGATAAACAACTGAAGTTAGGCACATAAATCCAGGTAAAGGAGGATTTTAAACATATCTTGCCTTTATTTTGTAAAATAGACGCAAAAGAGTAATTAAAATGAATTCTCAAATATTTGGGTCATTTTATGAGTTGATGATTGTTGCATTATGGAATTGCAACAACATTAAAACAGTTTTAATGGTATTGGAGTGCTTTAGCCTTTTATTTACTTGTCGTGTCAATTTATTGCCTCCTGTGTCATTTATTTAGAGCTCATTTTTTTGCTCCTGTACAAATTATTTGAATTACTTTCTATGAATGTTTAAATCTTTAATATTTTTGCTTTCTATATTATTTTGAGTGTCTCTGAAATAGTCTTTTCCAGGAAGTGTGTGCAAAGGACGATGATTTCTAATGTCTTGAAAATGCATAGTTTAAGCATAAATATTGACTAAACTATCAAAATTTCAAGTAATTTACATAACTATTTTTATATGTATAAACTGACTGGGTTTTGTTCCAGATGGCTAAGCCCACAGACCAATTCAAACATATTACATTATTTGTATAGGTATTTTGATTCTTTTTTTAACTTTTTATAGATAATTGATAGTTTATTCTGATACACGTGCTTTTCACTGGCATTCTTAAGCTATACATTTGTTAAATATAGAGAAGTCTTTTATTAGTTTAAACTCAACTGCAGGGGATTTCTGTTCCTGAGATAAATGAGCTAGTTTAGTGTCAGAGTGAATAAATGTCTGCAGATTGGTGAGTAGGAATCTGCATGGCAAGCCACATTGCTTAATCCTTACTAGATCATATACATTGTCCAAATGATTTGACACTAAAGAATAGTTGTAAAGGTAATGCAATAAAACTTAGGGCGCTAATTGTAACTGACAATCTTGCATACTGTACTTGAATTATTCCTTATAGCTGGGTGCAAAATGTGCAACATTCAAATAGTCTCTCTGACATCCTTTAATTTGCACTGTTTTGATTCCCATAATAGGTAGATGTTAGTGAGTATCAGCTGATAGGATATGTATGGGTGTCTGTATCTCCTATCCAGTAATAAGATTAGATTTTACAATTAAGTCCACCAGTAGTCCTGTGCATACTTTGCAGATTTAAATTGTAGGATCTATATCTTAGCCTCAGGACTTCAACCTGGGTTCTCTGCTGTGCCTCCTCTCTCTCTCTGTCTCTCTCTCTCTCTCTCTTTTTCTCTCTCTCTGCTATCATTAGTACATGTTTAGAACTGTGTTCATTCATTGAAGATGCTCCTAAGTTAAGAGATGAGCGAGTTGTTCTCTAAGGCCTGTGTTGCTTTTTGGTTTATTCAGAGCCATTCTTGTATTAAACTAAGAAGCTTCAAGCCACTTCTGTACTGGGTCTTCTGCAGAAATGGCCTGACAAATGTACTCTTCTTTGTCAGTTTTTAATATCATGCCTCGTAACTAATGAAAAAGTAGTATTTATAAACACAAACACTATTGAAGCTTAAACAGTTTAAGATACAACTACCTATCGGGTGATATTTAATAACATGCTACACAATAACTTTGGAAGGAATGAGTCTGCACTGAGTTAACTATTGCCATGAATTTAGAGTAGTGGTTTTCAAACTATAGATTGCGACCCCATAATGGGTTGCATGATGTCACGCACTGGGTCACCTTGCTGTTGGGTGACCTATAACTAATGGGGTGTTGAGGTAGTCTTCCTGCCTGTCCTGGCACTGCAGACAATGCTACATCCTGGAAATGACCAGTAGTGGTCCTGGCTTGTAGGCAGGAGGGGGGTGGGCGGGGGCACGTGGCTCTGTGCTGCTCCCATTCCAAGCACTGGCTTCATACTCCTGTAGGCCCTTCCTAGCCAATGGGAGCTGGGCGGAGGGTGTTGGTGTCCGTGCCAGTGAGCAAGAGCAGTGTGTGCAGAGCTGCTTATGTGCCTCCACCTAGGAGCCACTTTCAGGGCACAGTGTGGTCCGTGGTGCCAGGAGAGGCAGGAAGCCTGCCTTAGCACCCCCACTGCTTTGCTGAGTTGGAGCCACTGGAGTTGAGCTCACGTGCAACTACGAACACCATCCCCTCCCCAGTCCTGAGGCCTCTTCTGCACCCCAGACCCATTACTCTTTCCACTGCCCCGCAGCATACTAGTCAAGATATATATATGTTGGGTTGTGAGCATCAACAACTTTCTTCACCTGGGTTGCAAGGGAAAAAAGTTTGAAAACTGATATAGAGCATTTAATTACACTTGACCTGTAGAATAAATGGGATAAAATTAAATCTTTCAAAAAGATGAAGAAAAATAAACATGGTTTAGTATTTTTGACAGAGGTTACTTGAGCATGTTCCATTTTAAGCTCTAGTTCTTTTAAGTTATTTTTTAAAACCAAAGTTTTGATTTTAAGTTTGAACTTGCTCTGTTCTAGTAACTTGCTCTGTAGTAATCTATATAGTTAGTGATATGTGGAAAACCCATATTATTGTTCATTTGTCTTCACAATTCTATCTTGTAATGTATAGGCTTCAGTGTAAAAATAAATCTGATTGTTTTTCTTTTTCCTTCTGACTTCATTGACAAAATGAACATACAAATTGGATTATTTAGCACTCTGCCAAATTCTTGCTTTAAACTGCATTATGTATGCTATGAACAGAGAGCTTCAGAGTAACTTTGGAATTGTACATTTTTCTAACAAAGTAGTTGAACCTAAATTAACACTGATACATACTTCTTTCAAAGGGGACTTGAGAGAGGGGCTGGAGGAATTGGTTTGTTTTTTATTGTTGCTTTATGTTGTACAAAGAACACTTTGAATGGGTTTACCTAAAACCCTTTCTGCTTGTTTATTAGATTAGCCAGATCAGAAATATCATATGTAGTCATCTTTCCTTGGTGGAGGCTTTTCGTGGATGATCCAGAAATGTGGATAGGGAATTTCACAGCCCAGAACAGAAGGGGGTGGGCATATTGAAAATTTATCAAGAATTGTGCCTAGTGAGCTCTATTCCTGTGCTGTTTTAAATCTTTTAGCCTACTAGTTGTTCAGTCATCTGTAGTCTGTGTTTTTTCCTGGCAGACCACACCTGAATTTCTAATGTGAAACAGATTTTTTTTTTCCCGTCAAAGAAATAGTTTTCATAGTTATCCTGACACACAAGAGAAGTAAAGATGGTGACAAATTAGGAAAAACATAGAAACTAAATATTTAGTGTTGTGTATTACATAGGAAAATAACTTAGGGTGAAGATTACAACCTGTGGAATCTGTTAATGTGGAATGGCTGTATTCAGTTATTTTCTTTATGAAAACTCAGGTATCTTTATCTTAAGCATTTTAAAATTTCCCTTTAGCTGTTTTCAGGAATTGATCTTATTTGAGTCAATTTTTATATCTTTGAGTAGAAAGCAATTCAAATTAGTCTTCATCACTGATGTAGTTTGTGGGGATACATCTCGACATCAGGGCTTAAGTCGAATTAAACTACGCAACTGGAACTACGTCGATTGCATAGCGTAAGTCGAAATAGCTAACTTGGCTTTCGAAGGAAGAACATTCTTTCTTTGATATCCCCTATTCCTTGTGAAATGAGGGTTACCAGGAGTTGTAGTAGGAAGTCCTCCAGGACGTTATTTCAAAATAAAAGCTTATAATGTCAGTTCTGAAATAACGCTGCTGTGTGAATGTACCCTGGTAGACAAATCCTTTTCTCCCCTACTTCATTTTTCTCTCAACTATCTTACAGTTTTTGGAAAGAGCTATAAATCCTACTAAAACATTTACCTTAACTTCAGAATTATGTTTTTGCAGCTGTCATATTTTGACTGTTCTAGTAAGAAATGTGTTTTCTGGTGGGCTAATGTAGAATAATTATATAAAGCAGCTTTCATCACTTACCTGTGATAACATTTATTACCAGCAAATTTGAAAACATGTATGTGGTGCGGTAAATTGGGGATACTTTACAGTGCCATTTTTTGGTATTCTGAACCTAGAATACATGGGGGTATTAGGTTTTATTTAATGAAAATTGCTGACTTTACAAATTAATCTTAACATAGATTTGGACTAATCCAAATTGAATAAGCTTCCTCTCTGACTTACTTTGCTTACAGGAGACAAAACTGTTAATACACACAAGTATAAATCCATTACAGTGGAAATAGCCTGACTTTTCACCTTGGTCCCTATTTCTGCAGCCACTTGAAGTGCTTGGCTGAAGGACTTTAGGGTGGATGTTGGGGAGGGGAGAGGGCCATTATGAGCAATGGAAGAAATAACTCCATCTCCAAAACATTTTATCAGACTGCAGTCTTGAACCACTTGCCATCTGTGAACATATAGTTTTAGTTTTATGTAGGCAATCATCTACAACCTGTTTTGTAGCAAGTTGAAAAACAAGTCACTTGCTAATGTATATTGCATCTTTTTAGAAAATTAATATGGCTCAGTAATAGTCATTGTAGTGTTGTGTAACTTGGCTTTCTTCTATTGCTTAGAATTAATATAGTTGATGTCCTTTTTGATGCCTTTTCTGGTAAAAAGACTATTCCTACCAACCTGCTTACCTAAATCCACAAAAATGCCTCTGTTCAGTTTTAAGGGAGCATGTTACAAGTCTAAAACATCCACATATACTGTAAATGTTAAATTAATAGTTCAGTGACCTGGATTCTAATTCTACTCAACTGATTTGGTGTGCCATCGTGGGTAAGTTAAACTGTTTCCAGACAGTAAAATGGGGATCGTACTTACCTACCTCACAGGGTTGTTGTGAGGCTTGTTTATAAGTGCTTTAGAATCCTACAAGGTGCTATAGAAGTATAAAATGTCTGATGAAGCACATGTGGGCCTATAAAACCAGAAGCATAATATATATCCATGGTCTCTGAATTTGATCTAGACTGCTAGATAACCCACTTTATTTTTAGATATTTATTTTA